CATTGCAGGATTAAGAGGAACAATGTACATTGAGTGTTTTAAAAATGGAGTTTAAAGAAGTTGCAGACACCACAGGTTCTTCCTTTGGGAACCAAAATGGCACATGGTAAAGCCTCAACTATAGGTTCCTTTTAGGTGGGGGTCCACTGTGTATTACAGTGACACAATGAAGTGTTTGTTTTTTTTCCCCCCAAGCTATAGGTCAAGACTGCATCTTTGGAACCTGTTTAGTAGGATATGGTCTTGTAACCACTTTATATAGAAAAGAAATAGAGTAATAGAATAAAAAGAATTTGTGCATTGCATAAGGCAATTTTTGTATGTGAATTTTTTTTTTTTTAATATATATATCTGTACATTTGTATATGTGTGTTCAGAGTCAAGATCCTTAAGTTGAGAGCGGCAAACAAAAAGAATTGAGAAGGAGTCCCCAAACTGTTGTTAGTGGTCTGCTTATTTTTAATGTACTGAGATGGCCTATACACATATAACACATGGTGATTCAGAGAATTTAGAAAATGATGGGGGTGTTATGAGTCAAAGTTCCTTTGCTTACAATATCCAAAAAATCAAGGCCAAAGATTTCACTGTTTCCAGCTATATGGACAGTTGCTCATGCTCCTCATTTCGTATTGCATATGCAGACCCAGTATTGAGAGGTCTCCATAGAAAATACTGACAATACTCTTCTGCTAGGAAACTCTTACTATAAGAAAGGCACGTACTGATTTTCTTGGACTATGGAATATTTGTGTATTTTATCACATGTGGATTTTCTGCCTTTCAGGAGTTTGTCTAATCATAGGCCAAATACACTTAAAACCAAACCAAGGAAGCGTCTTTGCTCTCGTTCCATCTCATTTTCCCAGCTGGGGTCTTATCCAGTGATCTTGTCCCTGTGCCACTCTGTTCCATCAGGAAAGGCCATTAAATCTGTGATTCATGATTGTTTTTTGTTTGAATGTTGACTGAAGAGAAGTTGTACCTTTAAATGTAAAACACTTTAATTAATTGGAAAATGAGCTTAAGTAACTTTATTTAATTAAGATGTGGCCAGCATTTATTTCGTATACATGTTTAGACTGACCTTCGGTAATAGATTAACAACTAGTTAGTTGGGTCTGAATGGACCTATGGAGTTTTACTTAACAGTTCTTGATCTGCTGTCTGAGAAACAGAGAAAGTTACAGAGCCATTGGAAGGGGTGTCATTGTTGTCTATGTAACTAAGTTGATTGCAGGGATTTTTGTCTTTTGGAAGGCTATAAAACATAGTGCATGGAATAAAAACTTGGAGCTTCATCCCTATAGCTTACTTCTAAGTTCTAAATGACTATGAAGACACTTAATCTTTTTAAGTCATTTAATCTCTTGAAATAGCTGTTTGCTTATTTATCAAATGAGGAAAACTGCTCATGTACAACTTGCATTGAAGAATTAGGCAAAAATGAATGAAATATGTGAAACCATTTTTGAAAACTGATAACTACTATTTAAATATACATTGCATAGTGATAGAATACTGGAAAATTGTTAAGGATAGGATCTGTATCTGATCTTTGTACCCATAAAAAACAGCTAACGTAATGCTTTATAGCAGTTAGGTAAATTCTGGGATGATAGTTTGCCTCTGAAAGACTCTGAAAGCTGTTATTTCTCTTTTAAATTTTCACATGTGAGTACTGAGAGGGCGGAGATAGGTGTTTAACCTTTTAGACCGTGGTCTTGATAGAAAGTGAGACTTGGCCTTAGATTTAGCACCTTGGGTCATTATATATTTCTAGTAAGACCAAGAAATCCCTGAGCAGGGCACCTGAGGTGCGATCGTTTTGGGGTGGGTGGGTGATACGCTTTACCTTCTCCTTTTTTATGAACACGATGACAATTCATTTCAAAATTTCTGGCTTACGTGGTATCCCAAGGAGCCTATGGGTGACATCAACAGTGTGGTCTATGGCCATGCCACCCTGAACAAGCCCGATCCCGTCTGATCTCGGAAGCTAAGCAGGGTCAGGCCTGGTTAGTACTTGGATGGGAGATCACCTAGGAAGAGCAGGTGCTGTAGGCATAAAAATAATAATAATAATAAAAAAATAAGAGATTGTAAGATGACAGGGTCCTTGCAATCTGTGAGGTCAACCAAGGGTTGCCTCGCCTGAAAAAACAAAACAACAACAGAAAACAGTGTGGCCTCCTGTCAGAGCCTTTGGTGGCAGCTGGTGGAGATTCCCCAGGAATGCACCATCCTAGCAATGGCTCTCCTTAAAGCACTGGCTGTATTTACTATTTGATGTGCATTTTTTTAGTGTTGGCTTTTTATTTATTTTTCTATTAAGGAAAAGGAAGTATTACCACTATTTTGTAGATGAGGGGTGAAATTTAATTGATTTGCACAAGGTCATGCAGTTACTAAATAGTTTTGAGAAGAATCCTCCACTGTAGGCTGAACACCCTACCTTGTATGATAAACTTAGTGTCTGACAAAAGTTTACGGAGTTTTAAAAAAAATAATGATGCTGATTGTGCCATTCTCACCTCTGAGAAATAGAAGCTTATAGATGAGTTCTGGACTGAGAGATTGAGTCCATTGTCTAATTTGTGGGAGGAGTTTCCTATCTGGGCAGTTAGACCAATCATTTATTTAACATTCTTTTTACCTTCTCAAGCTTCAAAACAGGATTATAAACATTGGAAAATTCCAAAAGCATGCAGGTGTTCCTGGTTAGAAACAAAAAAATATGGGAATGCTTAACTTTTCTGGGAAGATGGCATATAGTTTGAAATCTCCCTATTTAGGAAGTTATCATTTAGCACAATCAAGAAAATACTTAGTTCTTTAGTTAACAGGAATTATAGTTCATTAAGCCATGGCAGATAGCTAGCTCCTTAAATCCATAAAATTTTATTAGAGAAGAGACTACTCATCATCAGTGTTGACTTTTGGAACTGACATTTTCCTTAGAAAGTTCTGGGATGTCTGGGAACTAAAGAAATACCCGTATGAACTGGGAAAGTCTCTTAACTTTTTGGGTCCTCATCTGTAAAATGAGGGGGTTAGGATTAGAAGACCTCTGAAAAAGTTTCAAAAACAAGCCAAACCAAGGTATCCAGATTCTGGTGCTCTTCTACCCCTGTCCCAAATGTGTTTTTTCATCCTTTGGTTCCTTTCACCTCTGCTTGCTGTAGATCATAGATCATGACAAACTGGGGTCTCAGGACAAACAGTAAACAAGACTGGAGTCTCACGTAGGTTGTCTGTTGAAGCTTTACTTGATGTTGATGTTCTTGGTCTATTTGGAACCTTTCAGGTCCTGGCCAATCCAAATAGGTGAGTTTCTTTCATAATTTTATGCTGACAAGTTTTAAAAAAAGGGAAGCAGAAGATAGATATTGAATATAGGTTGGATAATAACTATAAAAATGGCCTGGATTCTTTATAATTATGGTCTGACATGGTTCCAGTAAATATGTCCTTGGTTAAATTAAGTAATGCAAGGTGTATATATACACACAAACTATATACCTATAAACATAGTAGGTTCTAAATTTAATGTCCCAGTGTTGCTTTATACCACATGTAATTTTTATTGAGTCAGAACAGCCTGCTAAACCAAGCCTCAGGAGACTTGAGCCCTTACTTCAATGGGTCAAAACACTATTGATAACTCACAATTGGTGGTTAAAAAGATGTTTTTTAAATAGCAGAACCTTTGTTTCCCAAATTAAAACTTAAAACAGAACCACAGTATACAAAATAGTTAAAAGCAAAAACAATTCTGTTTTCCTGGGCTCCTTTGGGGACTCCAGGTGGCCTTAGGGAGGTAGGTTACATTGTTTGAAAAATCCGATTGAAATATCTTTCAGTTATCACTATAAGGAGATAAAATATACCAAATAGCAATTACAAAACACCACTCAAGTGTTATGGTGGTGAGGTATTTTTGTTTTTAGTAGGAACTGCTCTCTGCACTAAAAATTATTTGTGTTTAATATTAAATGGTCTGAACAAACATCCATTATAAAGACTGATGTAGCATGAGAGCTTAATTTCAGGAAGTTGCTGCCTGTATTTACTGAAAAAAATATCATGATGACAAAGATGAGTTTTACTAAAAAGTATATAAAGACCAAGTTAAGCAGAAAGGAGAGATTAAAATTTGTGGCCTGGTGAATTTTAAATAAAAACTGCTGTATAAGCCTGAACATAAGGCAACCCCCCAATTAGGCACTGTCCTGTTTTCTCAAGAATTTGAACATATAAACTTCTTGAAATATAGATAAAATGATGGAAAGTATATTAATATTTAGTTGCACACAAAATGATGTAAATATATTAATTTAGAAAATTTGCAATTTTCTATTCTGTTGTGTGTGTGTTTTTTTTCTCTTGTTTATTATTATTTATGCCTACAGCACCTGGTCTTCCTAGGTGGTCTCCCATCCAGTACTAACCAGGCCCAGCCCTTCTTAGCTTCTGAGATCAGACATTGGGCTTGTTCAGGGTGGCGTGGCGGTACACCATGGACCTTGGCTCCACTGGGGCGTGAACCCAGGACCTTCTGCATGTAAAGCAGACGTGCTAACCATTACACTATGGAACCATGTCCTCTATTTTGTTTTTATGAATCAGTTTTATATAAACTACTTACATGTGCTGTAACATCACCATCACCATCACCAGAACCACTTTTTGGCTTTTCCTATAATTTGAGAGCATAGTGTCTTCATTTCCATACAACTTTTTTTACTGTGTCATTTTAGTCTGTATGACATTTTGGTTTTGCATTAACCCTCCAACTTTGATGTTTTTCAAATATAAATTACGTATGTGGTGTCAAAAAACAGTTATTTGGAAAGAAGAAAAAACATAGGTACATTGGCTTTTTAAAAAATAAATGCAACTGGCAGATTGATGGGTCATTGACATTGGAGATTATTATTTTCTTTCTCCCTCCTTCTCTCCCTCCCTTCCTTTCTTCCTTCCTTTTCTTTTTTATTTAAAGCCTACAGCACCCGGTTTTCTTAGGTGGTCTCCCATCCAAGTACTAACCAGGCCCAACCCTGCTTAGCTTCCGAGATCAGACGAGATCAGGTGTGGTCAGGGTGGAAAGGCCGTAGACTAGATTATTATTTTCATATCTTAATTCTGTCCTTCCATTTGATTTACATTGCACAAGAGTGTGTTTCCTGCTCCACTTGGGCTTGGCCCATAACCTATTTGGCCAATGAAATATAAATGCACATGACGCAAGCAGATGACTTACACGGGCTACCTTAAATGCGATTGGGGTTTTGTGCTCCTGTGATTGTCATGAGAAAAATATGCCCCAGCTAGCTGTAGTCTTTTTAGTCTGGACCCCACAATGAGTCAGGTGGTGTAGCTGACCAGATCCTTATCCTGAGCAGGCAAGCTGAAATCTTTAGGATATATCAGACTACTATTGGCCTAGCAAATTGAATGTGACTCCTACAACTCAGAAATCTAATAATAATCTTTTCTTCTTCTTCTTCTTCTTCTTTTTTGATCTGAATTAGCAGAACCAGAAGTTACACTTTAGGTAATTTCTATATCAAAAATAACTTTGGGGATGATGACTGTCTACCAAGGGCTAAGTGGTCTATGTGGTAACCTGGGATTCTTGACAGTTGGTGCTTTCAAGAATACATACACCAAAACCAGATGTATGCAGTAAAAATGTATTGCCAGACTAGAGTGCACTGTTCATTTTTCCAGTGAGACCTCCACAGGGCCTATGAATAGAAGCCTGGTGTTTGCCTTGTAGATGACTCATTTTTAAGTACAGTAGAAACAAAATTTTGGCTTTTGTGTTAGGCATAGTTTCAGAGTCTCTGTATATACATTCATCGACTTTTGTGTACATGTACACAAACACCTATATTTGTATGTAGGTTTTAAGCATATGTGTTGTTTATCCATAGTTGTCTGCTTCTGTGCATGTTTAAATTTATTGCATGTACTCTTTTATTCTCTAAAGAAAAATACTACCTGTATGAAAAGTTGATTGATATTTTAAAAATTTCTTAGAATAATTTGAGATTAAATATCTCATTACGTCTGCATTTATCTACTGCTTCCCAATTAACTGAGATGTTAGATTCCCAAAGTAGATAATGTAATTGACAATATCCAATTTGTGCTATATCTTCCTAAAATTCATTTAATTGACCAAATTTTGACACCCCTCTTTTCATAATCATTTTCTTTCATATAATTAACTTGATCATGTATGTGACCGACTAATATAGCATTTTCAACAGCCCTAAAACAAGATTTTGGCCTTTTTAATACTTCTCTATCCTGGTTTCATGTGAGTCCAACATGGGGAGCTTTGAAAAAGAGTAATGTCCAGGCTCCTTCCTCAAGATGAATTGGTTTAGGGTGCGGCCCAGTCACTGGTATTTTTTAAAGCTTCTCAGGTGACTCTGACTGAGTTGACAGTCAGAGTTGACAGCCATTGACACAGATACAGCCTTTCTGTATTATCTAAGCAATTCAGGTTAGAAATTTGTTTTGCATGTAGGATTGTTCAGTTATGTCATCTCCATTGATTCAGTCAACCTGATAATGTCAGGTCTTCTAGGAAATTAGCATTGTATGGAAGCAGCTTTATTTATCTCCTATTTTCAACCTATTGCTTTTGGACCCTTCTTGATAGACTGATAAAGGAAAATTAGTTGCATAAATAAGACCTTAAGCTAGCCTGGGAATCGCTGCCTTCCTTTATGACTCCGTTTAACCATTTGGGTTACCTCTTAAATCACACTACCTCTGTCAACTTTATGGAAACTGATTTCAGTTGTGAACTTTCCTTCCCCATGGAGAGGAGCCCAGTGGATTTTCTCAGGTGACCTCAATTACAGCGAGCACAGTAGAGCCTTGTTAAGGACCCAGGAGACAGCATCTTACCTTTCTCTGCCAGATGCCTATGTAAATAGTCAATGACAGATCCCTATATAAGTTTCAAATACAAAGCCTTAGCATGTGTGCCTTTTTAAAAAAAAAAAATACTAGAGTTCACAGAACTGGAAGTGTATATTTTCTTCCATATAAACCACACTTATTAAATAAGTTATCTTGTGGATATAGCCTAACAGCATGTACGTGAGTTTCTTTCATGTTTGAAGCAACATGTTGGTTCCACAAGTCATTAGGACTCATACTACTGTAATTAGTGATAATGTGATGCATTGAGTCTTTTTGATTCATTCTTGCTCTTCTCCAAGGACCCTTAACAGCCTGTGTGGAAGTTTGTGATCACTTTCTTAAAATGGCGTTGATGGGTTTTGAGTGTAAGGCAGTGTGATTTTGAGTATAGATTTTGGACTTGGACTTTTTGGATTTGAGTTATGGATTATGACTCAGTAGCTGAGTGACAGGTTTTTGTTTGTTTTAAGTTTCTCTAAATCTTAAACCTGATTTTCATCACATACAAAATGCGGTAATCATTGTTATCTATCTCATAGGGTAGTAGTGGCGATAAAGTCAAATTTTTAAGCCTTTAAAATAGTTTCTGGCATTCTGTAAATGTTGGCTGTGGCTGCATCAACCCCACAATAATTACTAGTAAAACTACACTAGTACTGTCCCAGTTAATACTCTTACAGTATTATAAAATATCCGCTAAACTGAGGTCATTGGTGAATTAATATGAAAAAGAATCAACTGTCTTTCCATAAGCCTTCTTTTATAAGTTCTGTCACGCGGTCTTTTATTTGAGTTAAAGCTTATCTTTCGGTAGTTACAGGCTCACTGAAGGCAGGATCTCTTTTATTCTACTTAAAAATCTCCATCTTTCCTCCCAGGGGATGCAAAATTTTTGTGTCAATAGAGAATGTATGAGGCTATTAATATGAATCTTATGGTATAGTTCTGTAATCATAGGAACTGCATAAAGATTGGACGATGTTTTTTCCTGATAATTTGACTTAAAGTACTTAAAAATATCTTGGAGTGGCTGCACACTGGAGGCTTAATTCTTCAAGTTCATGTCTGTGTCACTGTAGTCACTGACTGGAAAGTCATCATTTCCTTTAACCAGAGGAATGTGCAGAAACAGTAGTAGGTGTTGGTTAAAATTAGAATCAACTATTTCCATAACCAAAGCTCCAGAGGTGTTTTAAAAAGAAAAAAAAAAAAGTAAAAGTGACAGAGCTCTACTAGTTTTTGCTTTTGGGTTCAAGAGGTTTTCAATCCAGTTCAACTAACTACAACTGGATCTGTCCCTGAATTTGGCACATGACATGTATGGCAGACTTCCTAAACCTAGTGATGGAAGCTCAGAACTCTTCCCAGGGTCAGGAAGAATTGTCACCAGGAGCTGAACGGCAAATAGCAGGCCATACCATTGTCCCCTCATTGCCTCCACCCCATGCTGAGCCACGGGGAAGGACTTAACATTGACATTATTTGCACTTATTAGCTCATTACTGCTCCATGCTCTCCAACTCTCCTTTACTAGCAGAGAGCTTGCCAAGGCTCCAGCACTGTAACTGTACACATGTGTTTCTAGAATACAATAGGAATTGTTCATCTCTTGAAGCTACTTATTAGTAGCTAATAGCTACCATTTGATGTCTCTTGAGAAATGCATACATAGTTTCCGTGGAGAGGTGAGAAGAAAAACAACCTATAATCTAGGCTCCTTTTTTCGTGTAAGGAAGACGCAGTTTGTGTGAGCAAGACTCTTCAGGTGTTTTTATACAGGGTTCAGGCGTTAAGTCACTGGTGCATAATGTGTCTGCAGAGATGGAGCCAGAAATTGGATCCCAAGTCTGGTCAGTTAGTTGAATTGAATCAAACCATTGCCAGAAGCTCCCGAGTAAGCGATTTCTAGTGGTCGTGGCTCCAGTTGCTTTGCATGTGGTTTGTTTTGGCCCCTTTCTCCCCTCACATGCTGAATTATAACAGTGCCACTGGTGTGCAGTGCCAGAGTTTCTCAGTTTTTCCATCAGATACCTAACATTTACAGAATGACTTTAAATATTTGCCACAGTCCAAGGTCTTGGCATTCAGCATCTTTTTTCTCGCTTACATAATTTCAAAAGTCCATGTTGCCATTTTCTCAATGAACAAACCTAATTAGAGAGAGAGAATCAGTGGCTTTAGGATTCAGACTGTAAGCGGTGATGCAGAAGAGATTTACTTTACTGAAAGAAAACAAAATGTTCTTGGGAATTTGAGTCTCTGGTGCATTTAGTGTTTTCATGGCTTGGAAAAAAAAAAAAAGCTGGATGTAGCAGTGTCTTGGGCTTTTCAGAGTAGCTCCTGGCTATGAGATATGGTCATTTTCAAGATCACTCACCAATGGTAGAAGAATAGGTGGTATTTGATGTTTGTTATTTTCATATTTAAGTAAACTTATTCTAGAATTTAAAGGATTCTGATATGGACAGTTTTCAACTTAAAATGATTACGTGTTTTGAAAATTTTTCTGATGGTTGTTTGAAAACTGAAAATAGTTCCTCCATACAAATAATGTTATAATTTAAAAAAAAAAAAAAGCACATTTAACCTAAGTATGGTAAGAGTACCCCATAAAGGAAGAATCCAGTGACTCTCTTTGAATAAGGATATTATTCTCTGAGGGGGCAAAGGTGTGTTTTGTGTACAAATTGTAGCAGAAGAGAAGAGACTACCCTATAGGGATAAGAATAGTTTGAGAGGACGCTTAGTGAATTCACTACCAAGAGAAAGCTTTAAAAATATATATTGTTTGTTACACTACACCCCAGGCTGTGCAGGGACATGGGAGGAACATGCAATTTTTCAAAAATAGTATTTAGAGATAGGATTTTATTGTATAATTGGCAAACTCCTCACTTTTGGGAGTAATTGCTTGATTTCATGGCAAGGGCCAAACATAGATTTCTTGAGGCCTAAGATAAATAGATAGCATTGGATCATGATGGTCAGTACCCAGGGTTACCAAGAGCTCAGCCCAAAGTGGACTGCTCTCCTGAGTGCGACTGTGCCAGGCTCTGCCTGTGTTACCTTTCAGCTTTGAATCAGCAAAATAAATCATTGTAAAATTAATTTGCTGGATGTTCTCCTGCCGCACTGCGTGCTCGTGTGTGTCACAAGACTTAAACTTCCTGCCGC